AAAATTGTAACGTTAATAGGAGGTCACTGCCTTCTCGGGCGAAGCCCACCAAGTCAGGCCGCCGCCGCCGCCGCCTCCCACCGTGATCGTCGTTGTAGTGAGGCGCGAGTCGTGGCCTCCTAGCGAGCGCGAAAAGGGTCAGAAGGACGGCAGCTTTTGTGTTCTGTCCTCCAACTTGAACCGCGACAAAAGGCGACAGCATTAACCAATCAGAGCTCGCCATTCACAAAATACGCGCTCCAAGGCAAACTTTGATCGGACCCGAAGTAAATTCAAGGGCATGAAAAATAAAAAGCATAAGAACAATAAAGAACCCCCTCCCCTACGAGGATTGTCATGTCGTCCCTACCCGGTCGGGGCGGGCCCGGGCCTGGGGAGACCATGCTCACTCGAAGAACTCCTCAGCCGGCGTCTTGCTGTCGATAGGCTTCGAGTCGTTGTGGTGACCCACGCCGGACCAGCAGCGTGGTGTGTTCCACCGGTGGCCGCACGAGTTCCACGGCAGCTCGGAGCGGAACGCCGAGAAGAGGTAGTACAGGGAGTAGGCGATCAGCACGTTGTAGAACGTGCTCATGATGAAGGAGATGATGACGCTCGACACTCCAGCGCCTGCAGGAGTGAAACTCGCCGTTAGGACTAGGGCACAGCAGGTCAGCAGGTGGGTGTGGTCGTGGTCACGAAATCCGAAATTCACACGCATACTAGGGGACCGGATTGATACAGTCTTTTTGTTGTCTCCACAAGTGATTTTCGTTTGTTCAAAAGTTGGATTCTTTGATCTAACGAGTGTTTTTCCTTGTTTCAAGGTCCTTTACCCCTACCCTTTCATGAGGGTAACAAAAATCCCTTAAAATAAAGTCAAACACAAAGACTATATCTTCGGTTCAAAAATTAAATTTTATTCTGGGGTGTCTCCGTGGTAGGAGAGGGTGTGCTTACCCTTGAAGAGCGGGCACAGCATGGAGAGGGCGCCGATGGGGCCTCTCCGCGTAAACTGACCCACCGACATCTCGAGGTAGAGCAGGGGGATGCCAAGCAGCAGAAGGGTCACGAAATACGGAATGAGGAAGACACCTGCAACATAGGATTCGTAATTATTAGTCACACGCTATGGTCCGCGAGAGACAGACGAAGGGCTACCTGTTTGACCCGCACGCCAGGCCACACGGCCCTCAGCCCCGTCCTCATGGCGAGTTAACGCCCTTAGGTAACATTAGACTACTCCAACCTGCCCCAGCTGAGCAGACCACCATCGGGCCGCGGCGCGGCGGGCCGGACATTCGGACAAGACAGGACACCAGGGACGCCCCTCGTCTTTTCTGTGCCAATCCTTTTGTGTTGCGCTGTTTTCCCTCTGTAATGATATTTAAATTGCTAGTGCTGCTGCAGCAGAGCGCAGGCGTCAAAGACGGACGTGATGTTGCAATTCTTTGACGCGTTAACCACGGGATCAAGTGAGTGACGGGGCTCTTCGGCCGCGCTCGACTCTTGTCCTCAAGTTTGTCGGCGCGAAGCAGACACCTTCCCTTCCCAAAATACACACGCAAAAAGTCTCTGAGCTACTACCAGACCCAGAAGATGCTTTCTTTGGTTCAAGGAAATAACATTGAGAAATCGAATTTATCACATGACAGGAAATTCTCCCGCCCCCTTCGTCACCTACCCAAACATGGCTACCGCCTGCGCGATAGGCAGTCCTGTTACACGCTGATGTCGCGCTGGATGGCCTACCCAGACAGGCGGTCCCGTTGCCTGCCGTGCTGATGTCGCGGGGGGGGGCTATCCTAGCTGGCATTGAATGCCTGCGTGGTAGGCAAGAAGGCAAGCCCGTTGCGTTCTGGACTGGCGGGGCAGTCGTCTGTTAGACAGAGCAGGGTGCGCTGGACGCAACAAGCAGCGATGCGACCAGTAGAGGCGAAGGGAAGGAGGGAGGGATCGGTCAGCGAGGGTGTACTGTGCGTGCACACAGCAGCCGTACGCCCATCGTCCACTTGAGCAAAATGCTCGCGGCGATCAGGATCAGGGTGGCCGGCGGCAGCGGGAGTTTCTTGCCCCCACAGTCGCGGCGGCGACGCCCCCACTTACTCTGCACGGTACGTCTGATGTGTTCAGTTGGCTCTCGCTGCTCCGATTCAGCCCCGGAGCCTTGGGTAATGGGTAAGTAGTTGGGGGGAGGAGGGGGTCACCTATTTACTGGCGGGGTGGAGAGCAGTGCGTTTTTATTTTCATATATACTCGCAGGTGCTCGCGAACGATGAAACACAGTCACCGATCTACTATAAAAATAGAACAATTAGTTGGCCTGTTGGCTTATCCTCTCAGAGCAAAGCGAAGCGAAGCAGCAGCGGGCTGTCTGGCTCCGCCAGGCCTGGCCATGCCACCGCACCCCCATCACGCGACGGGAGGTCCGCGAGGCACACTCCGGCAATAGTCGGGCTCGACTGGTTCGGCTCGGCCTGTGTTCCCGCTTGGACCGATTAAGTACAAGCGCGTGATCGCTTACACCTTTACGCTTCATGCTCGAAATTTAAAATTTGGCGCTGGTGGCGGTTACAATAGTGTAACCCGGGCTCTCACCTCGGAGCGGGAGGGCCCCGTGGTCCGCACTGCTCGAGTGGCTGGCTGTGCGGCTCGACAGCTCCGCACTGCGCCCTTGTTCCACTTGCGGTGGAATTATCAATGACAGCAGTGGATCAGCAGCTGATAGCCGCGGCTCTCTCCGCTTTGGAGACCGGGCAGGCTAAGGGCCTCATGGGATGGGTCGAACCGGGTTTTTCAGCATGGTTTCAGGGAGAAACATCCTGAGAGGACGAGGTATGGGTCGTGTTAAGTCGGAGATAGAAGATCAGTACTCACCGCCGCCGCTGCGGTAGCACAGGTACGGGAACCTCCAGACGGTGCCCAGGCCCACGCAGTAGCCGACGCACGCCAGCACGAACTGCGCGCGGTTGGCCCAGTGCGCGCGCCGCGTCGGCCGGTGGGGGCTGCCGTCGGACACGGAGCTGCACGACGAGCTGCGGGAGGACGAGTCGTACTCGGCGTGGCTGCAACAGACAAGGGAGTTTGTGTCACGAAGTGCTGAGATATGAGCTCCTATAAGCCACACAGGGAACGCCGTGTGACGCCTCTGCTGCAACCCTCTCCCGCCCCTAACGTGGACTCGGAGACTTAGACGCGGAGTGACCCTGCCTGACCGGGGTGCGGGTTGCGGTGGTCGGCGAACAATGCTCCCAATTACAGAGGGCAGGATGTTAATCAGTGGAATGGGATGGCCTAGGCAGGCAAAGCCCCCCCACCCTCCTCCTCTCCCCCCTGGCCTCCACCATTGTCGCCGCGGTGATGGACGACGGGGCGCGCCAGCGGATAGATAGGTCCCCGCGGCAGCACGCCACGCCACGGCATCACGGAAAAAAAAGATTCGCTGAGCCAGCTAATATATTGACTGGTATCTGGACAGACAAGCACATAAAC